CTTGCCAGAGACTAGCAGATAGAGCAAGTGCACAGGTTTGCTAAAATTGTAGGCTTCCTGATGAAGCAAGGTGCCGTTGACTGCACACACATCACTCATGGGTGCTGCATGCCAGTTCTGACGTAAACGGAAACTGAAGGGAGTTTCACTCCCTCAACATCCAGCTTGCATATGACCATGCAAAGTGCATCTTGTAGGTCAATCTAATAATTGATTGACAGTCCACATTACCATCTGAATTTTAGCCACCACAGTGTGACTATAGGGTGAAACCGGGGAACTATAGGCCAAGGAGTCTGACATCAGTAGTAGAGACACCATTGGAAAAAATGAGGAACAGAAATTTTCACTTGGAGAGGCAAGGAGTAATCAAGTAAAATAAAACAAAGAACTGTGGATGCTGGAAATCTGAGACAAAAACATAAGTTGCTGAAGAAACTCAGCAGATCTGGCAGCATCTATGCAGAGAAAGCAGGTCAATGTTTTGAGTTCGAAGAAGGGTTACTGGACTCGAAACATTAACAAAGCCTAATCAAGGGTTGTTTACATGGCTTTAATAGGGGAAGATTATGTCCAAACGGTTTGATTGAGTTTTTTGGGGAGGTGACTAGGCATGTAAATGTGTCAATGAAGGTAGTACAGTGGAGTGCAGTCTGCATGGATATCAGTAAGGCTTTTGACAAGATCTCACATAGGACACTGGTTAAGAAGCTAAGGGTCCATGGGATCTGGTATCATTTGGCAAGTTGGATTGGAAATTGGCTTAATGACAGGAAAAAAATGATAGTGGTCAAAATGTGTTTTTGTGACTGGAAACCAATGTCCAGTGGTGTATCACAGGGTTCAGTGCTGGGTCCCTTGCTGTTTTTGGTGTACATTAATGATCCAGACATGAATATTGAAGATTTGATCATTAAGTTTGCAGATGGGAGCATTGAGAAGAATCCTCTTCATTAAGCAATGCATTGCATTCTGTGAAACATCAGGATACCCATTTTTTTTCTTGGAAGAAAATTGTTCTGTATCTTCAACCAACAACCAGAATCCAAATTAACTCTAGTGTGCGTCTTCCTGACTGTGGACCCTTCGATAGCGCACACTGTCCATGCTAATTTGCATGACAAAGCATGAATTCTGTGAGCATGCTCTAGGACAGCAAGCAGCTTTGAGGGGCAGCCGAGTCCAATCTGAGCTGGGTTCCTGTCAATGCATTCAAAGTGTTCCCACTGCAGCCTCTCAATGGCTATTTGGTGGTGTGTCCTGCAATGCAACTATGTACTTCTAGAATGTCCTGCCAGTCTATTAGAGAAGTACCATGATGGCTGTGAGGGGTTGGCGAATGTCAAATGCCAGCATTTGTGGATTAAGGAAGCACACAGCTGGTGCTCATGGATCATGCCCTGAGATGCAGTTTAGTCATGCAAAATGGAAATCCTTTGAAGCAACAGCAAGTTGAATCTACTAGGTATAGTAGGAACTGCAGATGCTGGAGAATCCGAGACAACAAGGTACACAGCTGGATGAACGCAGCAGGCCAAGCAGCATCATAGGAGCAGAAAGGCTGATGTTTTGGGCCGAGACCCTTCA